TGTTATCAGTCCTTAATAAGTATTCGAGTTAATCCGACATTTTAAAGGGGGTCAAAATCATGTTCAAAGATTCCGTTACAAACATACATACATACGTCTGAAGCTAATAAAAGCGTATTAAAAAGAGAGTAATGACAGTTAGTTTTTGTATATAATTAAGAGAATTAGCCACGCTATCGTATGATCATGATCAATGTGACCTTATTGTGTATGCCAATCATCGCACAGCCGTGACATTGGAACGACAAGAAATATTCCAGTATAATGCAAATAAAATAAAGTATCTGAAACATTATTGTTACATAATATTTTTGATGTAACAAAGGTATTGTGTCACGCATAATTACGTTCGTAAATGAATTAAAAAAAAAACACAAAACAAACAATTTTAGTATAATTAAAAATATTTAATAGTTTTTACAACACGAACTCTTATAATAATCCGGTGAAGTTTCAAATATTTATCACAATAGTCAGGCCTAGGATTTTAAAGTATTTATTAGCTTTGTAGCAGTAATACTTTCATTTAAAAATTCCACTTTTTAGTAACTCAGCGCGACAGCTTAGATCGGGTAGTTTCATGGATCTGAATAATGTTAATGTACCTACTTGATAATACATTAACATTATGATGATAATGGTGAGATATATGTAAAAAGAACTGGTGATAAATATTTAAACGTTATATTTGTATCATCACAGCAATATCCTATTTAAGACACCACTGATGATGAGGGATAAGACCGTATGATGAGTGATTGTGTAATCAACAAAAATATCATCAAAATTAATCGGAAACTATTAGAATCAAAAGCCAAAAATGGAAGTTTATGCACTTTAGCGACGTCCGCTCGTAATCCCAAATGGTTCAATTCAAGTATTTCCCTGCTAGCAAAACTTATACTTATAACTATTATACTGGTGAAAGAACTTATTGTGAGTCCGCACGGGTAGTTACCACCATCCCGCCTATTTCTGCCGTGAAGCAGCAATGCGTTTCGGTTTGTAGGGTGGGGCAGCCGTTGTAACTACATAATAATATACTGAGACCTTAGAACTTATATTTCAAGCTGGTTGGTGCATTTACTTTGTGGATGTCTATGGGTTCCAGTAACCACTTAACACCAGGTGGGCTGTGAGCTCGTCCACCCATCTAAGCAATAAAAAATAAAAAAACTTCGAATCGATTTCTAATAAAACGATTGATGCTGAATATGAATGTTTAAAATTAACAACACACGCTTAAATTTATTGTGCTCTTTTGGGTGAAGAGAAAAAAAGCCACATTTTTAAAGCAATAATTCCCTTTTTACGCTCAGTTTTCTTTTCACATTGTAGTATTTACAAATTCAATGAGACAATTACAGATATAATAGAAAAGATTTTTTGGAAAGAAGTTCCTTATGGGACGATGCCGAGGGGTACCCTAACCGGGAAAATCGTCCGTAATGTAAGATTTTTGTTAGTAACAGTGTACGGCTTAACTTTGTAATAACGTACAAGTTAGTAATGCACACATTGTACGACTTAACTTTGTAATAACGTACAAAAAATAACATATTTGTTTATCATTTATTGACCACGATCTCAGAGCGTTCGTATGCGCAATACACTAACTCTTATGCAAACAACCGTGAATGAAGTGTACCACAATAAGTTCGCACGTTACCGAATGGCCGTGGGTTGTTGCCAAACCTCCAGTTTTATTTTCTTTATACCTCGAATAGAACATAAGATTAATATTTTTATAATAAGGAACTTCGTTCCTATCCGGTGTCCTAAGACACCACACATCTTTTTTTTTATTTTATAACAAGGAAATATGTATATCTTCTCGCTGTCATCACGATTTTCAATTTGCCCGGTTAGGTTCTGGAAATGGTACATGTGTTTACAGATTTGTCACAATGCCGGTTGGCACTCGCCCGCAGCGCAGGCTCCGACAAACCACAGCCATTCAGTTAGATTCCGACTGACAACATTAATTCCTCTCTATGTATCAAAGGCATTCGGATAACCTATATTTGAATTTTTTAATTTAAATAATAAGCCTGAGTTTATTTTAGTGAAATGTTTCTTAAAATAATTGATTATAAGTACAACCATAAGCAGCGGCTTGGCTGTGCTCCTGGCATTGCTGAAGTCCATGGGCGACGGTAACCACCCACCATCAGGTAGGCCGTATGCTCGTCAGACTACAGGGGCAATAAATAAAAAATTCGAAACGGTATAAAAGCGATTTCTTAAAATGTAAATTTGAACTAATCTTTTAATTCCAAAATCGATTAGTAAATTCCTTGTTTGCATTCGGAAGGCTTGTCATATTTCAGAACAGCACTCTTGTTAGTCCTAGTTACTTTGTTAGACTTTTTAGGCAAATCCAATAATATTTAACGCTGACTTAAAATACAGATGAAATTCCGATAGCAATTTAATTCAACACCATTTTTTTATCTTCCATTTTGGATCGCGGTATACTTAATCGAATTTTTACAAAAGATATAAAAAAGTGAATGCTAAAGCTGTCTTTGATTCCCTAAGGAAAAATATATCTACAACTCTACAGTGCTACAGAAAATAGACGTGGAAACTAGAATTTACTACGACAATTACAAAGCTTTAATTAAACAGGGGAGGTTTTCATCCTGCGATATAGAAAGTTTAACAGTTCATTGAGTTAATCGTTCACAAGACATTTTATTAGCAACATACCATTTTATATGTAAATTTTTTTTTATTTTTTTTTTATTGCTTATATGGTTGGACGAGCTCACAGCCCACCTGGTGTTAAATGGTTACTGGAGCCCATAGACATCCACAACGTAAATGCGCCACCCACCTTGAGATATAAGTTCTAAGGTCTCAGTATAGTTACAACGGCTGCCCCACCCTTCAAACCGAAACGCATTACTGCTTCACGGCTGAAACACGCAGGGCGGTGGTACCCACCCGCGCGGACTCACAATAGGTCCTCCCACCAGTAATATTATCTAAATAGATGTATTTTAGATACAGAAAACGTTCTAAAAAAAAGCAAGTTTGTATCACGTAGACATGTTTGAAGTGAATCATTTGCCACGTACTAGTCGACCTCCAGTGCTAAAGTCTGCATCATATCCTGAAATAATTCAGTTGTTACCGTTACCCACTAACCTCGATACTAATAAAATTACTTGTACTTTACGACGCTGCTCTTTACATAGTTTCTATTAAAATACTAAACAATTTTGCAGCGAGATACTTTGTCTGAGTAACAATCCTTGGGCATGGTAATCAAGGTTTTGAAATCGTCGTGGGCTATATTATAAAGCGACTGGTGTACACGTATGAAGCGATGCGATTATACCGATCATGAATGATTTAGTGTAGCAATAAAGTCGTCTAACGAAAAAATCAAACCATAATTAAAACTGTACTATTTCAAGGGTTCAATTTCGCGTTTATTGTTTTCTTTCGGATTATTATTTCCTACTTTTCGGATACTATATAGTTTAGTAGATAAGTTAGGAAAACATTATACACGAGACACCGCCTAAAATTTTTTTTTTTAATTATATCCCCGATTCGTGAAAGCCGATTATTTTTAGCCGATTTAAAGCCGAAAATTAACTAAAAATAAAAAAAATATGTGAAAAGCGTATTGGAACCTCGCACGGATATGTAGGTCTTACCTTCTTCTTTTTTTACCTGTTTACTGGGAGCCTAAGAGGCTATTCCAGCGACGCCGGGACGGTTAGGTGAGCTCACTTATCCCACTAGGTGGGGTCGGCACAGCTAATTTTTCTCTTCCATTCTCTTCTATCAGCCGTCATCTCAACACTCACTCCTCTCTCTCTCATATCGTCATTCACACACTCCATCCATGTCTTCTTCGGTCGACCTCTTCCCCCTCTACCTTGCACTACCATTTCCCTACATCTCCTAGTCACATGCATCTTCTCTCTATGCATCACATGTCCATACCACGCTAACCGTCCACTCCTTAATTTGTTGCTTACCGGGGCCACTTTCACACTTCCTCTGATATACTCATTCTGATCTAAGCAATAGATGAATAAAAATGTATGTGAAATCCCTCTTGACTAATTCCGTTGCTGGTGTTATCATGTGGTTTGAAAAATCATAAAGATAAACGCTTTGAATCTATTTTTAAATTTTACTTCAACATCAGCGATCAAAAATTGTTCCAGAATCTATCGCTTTGTTATTTAAATTTAAAAAATAGTACCGCGATTTGCTGCGTTTCATGTTGAATATACCTAAATTATTGTTTCTAGAATCTTTACCTTTGTCTCTGATAGGTTGAAATACAATATAACGTTGAAATAACCGAAAAACCTAAATACTTTAATAAACTTTGATAAAACCAGGCAGATTTCAGCAACTCCGTCGATTAAATAGAACAGGAACCGGTTAATTATTTTTCACGAGCACTAGAGTCCCTATTAAAAGACATCTGTTACACCCGAAGACGTTTGGTATGCATTTAAAAGTTTACGAGCCATTAGAATGATCATGCTGACCGATCACTTCTAAATATACTCCGTCGTATATTAACCACCCAAGTTGTTAAACTGATTGAGTAACCCGACCATTTGTTAATGTAGTTTACATTCATTACCTAATTAGTAATTTAAATTATACTCGTGCTAATCAGGACTTGTTCAATTTAAAGGTATTTCCCATAGATCTTGTAAAGAATACCAATAGACTAACATTACACCAGTATACGATTTTACTGGTGGTAGGACCTCTTGTGAGTCCTCGCGGGTAGGTACCATTGCCTTACCTATTTCTGCCGTGAAGCAGTAATGTGTTTCGGTCTGAAGGGTAGGGCAGAACTTATATCTCAAGGTGGGTGGCGCATTTACGTTGTAGATGTCTATCGGATTCAGTAACCACATAACACCAGGTGATCTGTGAGCTTGTCCACCCAACTAAGCAATAAAAAAGTTAAAAATAAACTTACGAAAAAACTGTATTTATTTCTTTTGTTACAGGTTTAAAACACAGGATTGAAAATAATTTGGTTGTGATAAATATAAGGGCTTCCAATTTACACCTTAATGTTTCTACGACATGAGCAAACGTTTTCTTGACGCTTTTCGTTTTAAAAGTGTTGTTACATTTTTTTTGTACGTGCTTTGTACGATGAAGTGAGAAGCAAGCGATGACTGCGAAGGAAGTGGAACTGACAGGTGGCGTACCCTGGGGATTTCGCATGCATGGCGGAACTGACCAGAACCAGCCGCTTAGAATATCACGGGTTAGTATAATATTATATTTTCTTAGGCGATCGCGAGTGGTAGACAGAATTAAAAAAAAAAAATTTTTTTTTATTTATTGGTTAGATAGATGGACGAGCTCACAGCCCACCTGATGTTGAGTGGTTACGGGAGCCCATAGACATCTACAACGTAAATGCGCCACACATCTTGAGATATAAGTTCTAAGGTCTCAGTATAGTTACAATTACGGTTTAATCTTGGCTTTTTTACGGTCATTATATTATTTTTAATGTTTCAAATACTTTGTAGTTTTCGTAATATGTATATGATATGGATACCAAATATGGATATGAAAGCTAATATAATATATAATATTATTTTGTGAACGAATGTGATTACCGTCAATAAATATAATTATTAATAATTAATATAGTCTGCAATCATGTATACATTCTACGATATATACAATTCTATTTAAATTATTTCTAATTAAAATAACAAAATTCAGCATCAGAATGTGACTTGTTAATTATAAAAGAGTTTCTAGTAGTTGAGAACCCTATTAGCTCAGAAAGAAAAGTAATTTCCTTGAATTCCTTGGGGGTGTAGTGTCAGATTACGCAATTAAATGCCGCTATAAATGAAAGAGCGAAACAATTCGTTTCGCTCTTTGTTGGTGGACAACTCTACAATTTGTCAAGAGTACTGTACCGATTATTGTGGCGGTGAGGTGTGAAATGTTCCATAGAGATTTACTGAAACAGATTAACTTAAATTTCTATGATTTTTGAAAGATTTCATAGTTACATCCACTTAGGCTCTTACATTTGATTGTAGGTTATGTCGGTAATTGTCATTATAGAATTACAATTTTTCGTAATGCTTCTGACTGCGATATGAATAAGATTACCATAAATTGTGTTTACTGAACAAACAACAATCAATCATTAAAAAAACGAGACTCTTCTTCTTTAATAAAACCAGTGACGTTTTCCTCATCTTTATACACATAACTACCGCAGGTAATCAATCAGGATTTTTAAGACAAGATTAATTTCACTGTAATCATTTCTGTAGTTTATTACTGAATTAGAGAATTAAAAGTTTTGAAAATTTTATGCTTTTATTTTCCATCCTTGAAAATGGTGTCATAAAATATATAATAGAAAGTGATTAGATTTTAAAGAGCAAGAAAAAATATTCTCGATTTTATAGGCTTCTTTGTTAGAGATTTTTACGGCACCATGCTCAAATAGTGAAAGCTGTCGGCGACAGTGAGGTAAAGCCCTTGTTTAATGTAACAAGATACTGCGATCGCTTCCCTTAGGTTAAGGATTATTATTTGATACTTCAATAAGGATTGAAGAGAGCAAATTAAGCGGCCCTATCTTGTTTCTTTTAATCTGTCAACAAACATTACTAGCTGCCGAGACCAAAGCTGCAGTTTTTTTTCTCCTATTTTTACCAACTTCGCCAATAATGGTACATAATGTGACTCCGTAACTAAACTTACAATATTTTGTTAATGTATGAATACACCAACAACTACAATATGATAATGTTACGCGCTGAGGTTCGGGATAAATAAAATTCCACCGAAATATAAATTAAAACTCTTCTTATCACTTAGAACACTTAAAACACTTCACAAACACTTTAAAATTCTCAGTTCGCTTCTCCCGCTTCGTTTCAGGTAATCGGTTCGCTTCGAGTAGTTCCGACTACTGACTGATTGCGTCTTGTTTTTTTTTTCCTACCTATTCTAGTAACCTCGAGGGGTTACTCTAGATTCACCGAGCTTGTAGGTGAGCTCACGGGGCTCAAACCTGACGTCGTTGCTAACACAAACCCTAGCAAGAGCCGTGCTTCGCAGAATATACCATCGGATTGGAAAAGCGACCCACAGAAGATCCGGCGAGAAACTCAGTGGGCTGTGTCTGTGGGTTAATTTATTCGTCGAGCCCTTTGTCGCAAGTGACGGGTTCGACGAGAACGATGACCGGTGCTTTTAGGTACCTTAAGCACCGGCCATCGTTTAGTGTTAGTCCAAGTTAGTGGATCGGGAGGATCCGAAATGACGTGTTTTGGGCGACGTCGACTGCTTTCCATTCTATCCGCAGGATCGGGAATGTAGGTACCGGCGGCCACGATGAAAGGGTTCTCGTGTCGTACCGCTTTCTCGAAATGGCGCACTGATGCTGACTGTAAATACTTACTGATGGACTCTAGGTCCAGGTCGTCATGCATGCCGATGTTCCTGACGAACCACGGGGCTCCGACGGCTATCCTGTAAAAACGGAATTGAATTATTAACCCTGTTGAGTTGGGTAATCTATGTTATAGGTATAATCTGTGTCATTGCATTTTCCCTCCATTACTGGTGCAAAATTATACAAATTGTTTGTCTCTAAAAAGTTACGTTTAATAAATTCTATAAAACTATCCAAGTTATTATTTAAATACGACAAAGTGGGTGAACAAACATATTTTGGTCCTTATCGAACCGGATTTGCAAAAAACTCGAGTGTGTTCAACTTGAATTGACTTCGACAATATGAGCAAAATCACAGAACTTATCAATATTCTGGAGGAAAAAGCTGATCTGATATTAAAATGCACGACAAACATTAAAAAATGTCCGAAGACACGTATGACGAAGGGGTACGTAGAAACGAGGTTGAATACCATCGAAGATTACTGGAAAATATTTAAAGAAACACACGACACTCTTGTGAAGTCCCTCACCAAAGAAAAAAGATCGGATATATTATATTTTAAAGAGAATGTGTATAGCAATATTGAAGAGTTATATATGGATACAACATCAGATTTAAAGGATACTTTGTCCAATTTCGTACAAACTGCAGATACCCCCACACCAATTAAACAACAAGATTTGAATATAAAATTACCCCATATACAATTACCTACGTTTACTGGACATTATGATGATTGGCCGACCTACAACGACATATTTACTTCACTTGTTCATCACAATATCACATTATCTAAAGTTCAAAAATTACATTACTTAAAGGCAAGTGTTGCTGATGAAGCGGCTTCTCTACTCAAACACATATCGGTGACTGAAAGCAATTACGAACAGGCGTGGGACATTTTAAAACAGAGATATGGTAATAAGAAACTAATTGTTAATTCACTTTTAAGAAGATTGTTTCAACAATCAAAAATAAACACACCTAATGCCACTCAACTAAAAAGATTATTAGATACTACAACTGAATGCCTGAGCAGCCTACAAAACCTTAACTTACCTGTTGAGTCATGGGATTTAATTATCATCTACATAATTGTGCAAAGACTGGATCCTGAAACACATAAAGCATGGGAAGAGTATAGTTTCCATAGAAATAGTGAAGACCTACCTACTTGGCAAGAAATGAAAAATTTTCTAGATTGTAAATTTAGAACAATGGAATTAGTAACATACACACCTCAAACAAAAGAATTGAAATGTTATAAACAAAAAACATTCCAAATTTCCACAACAGAAAAGATCTGTATTAAATGTAAAGAAAATCATACCCTTTGTCATTGTGAGGAATTTATTAAACTGTTACCAGATGAACGAATTGGTTTTGTGAAGAACAAGAATTTATGCTATAATTGCTTACTACCAGGACACCCAGTTTTTAAATGTCGACTCAGAATATCATGCAGAATCTGTGGTAAGCGACACCATTCGTTACTACACAAAACAATCAATGGATTAGAGACAAACTATAAACAAGTTGAAGACACAAACATCCAACCAGGCCCTATAAAGGATAATGATGCAGACGTTGCTATACTGTCGCATATGGCGACAAAGAGGTCCACAGCATTGCTGGCCACAGCATTGATAACTGTTAAGAATAGTACAGGACATTATACAGTATTGCGCGCCTTAATAGATCAAGGGTCACAGGCTAATTTTATTAGTGAAAGAGCAGCACAACTTTTAAAAGTCAAAGGAACNATGGAAGACGGAATATCTCACACGTTTACAACAAAGACCTAAATGGTTAACTTTAAAGGATGAGTTTAAAATTGGAGAAGTGGTTCTGATTAAGGAAGATCACCTTCCTCCGGGTAAATGGGCCTTAGGTCGCATAGTTGAAAAATATCCTGGCTCTGATAACATCTGTAGAGTTTACAGCTTAAAATGTTGTGGTAAACTGATTAAGAGATCCATTAGTAGACTGTGTAAATTGCCAATTAATGAATAACTTGCATTAAACTTAAAATTTGGTTACTTTATAAACTTTATTGTTTTGTTTTTTACTAAATTAAATTTAAGTAGATCTAGAAATATATTTAATACAAATAGTTAACATTTAATTGGCAATAATGGTTAAAGGATTGGTAAAGAAGGATGTTTAAAAAATATAAATATTTATTCATGTAAAGTTAATGATACATTAAGAATGACCTAATGTTCATAAAATTCGCCTATTTATTATAGGTTGCTTGTACTTTCTGATTTGTATTTTGTAATCTGATTTATGTTTGATATTGTAAATTCTAGTAATTGTTTGGTTAAAGTCTTGGAGCTTATCAGAATGAAAACTTACAATTTTGCTATGATTTACTGTATGTTTCTCAAAAACTTCGTTTTTGGGGGGGCGGTATGTTGAGTTGGGTAATCTATGTTATAGGTATAATCTGTGTCATTGCATTTTCCCTCCATTACTGGTGCAAAATTATACAAATTGTTTGTCTCTAAAAAGTTACGTTTAATAAATTCTATAAAACTATCCAAGTTATTATTTAAATACGACAAAGTGGGTGAACAAACAAACCCCTTCAGGGTTTTAAGTTTGTGCGGGCCACGTGAGCGAACACTACACTTGCATAGGTCATGACGGGGCGTATGCAAGTTTTGTAGTGTCACCTTATTTCTAAGGGACAATTTACTTCGCTTGCAAATCATCGGATAGAGGCGTCCTAGTGTCAACGCGGCACGGTCGCGTATCGTCTTTAAGTGGGGACGGAATGTCATCCCTCTGTCGAGGCTGACGCCCAAATATTTGACCTTCGGAGCCCACGGTATGGGTTGGACGTACATGGTGATGGGGCGAGTGGCGGAATTGTTTACGCGTCTATTCGGGAGTGGGATGCTTGAAGTGATATTCGGAGGGCGACTCCTTTTGAAGAGCATCGCTGTGCTTTTCGTGGGGTTGATGTCGACTGACTGTGTGCCATCTCTGCAACGGTTTTATAGTGGAGACGAAATCCCTAGAATCGTCGAAAATATTCCACAAAGTCGAGTATTGTATGTTTCCGCTATCTGACAATAGATGGCGTTGTACTTCTCGGGCATTCTAGGTGCTACTAGATCCTTCGATATTCGTTCGACTATTCGGCGATAGATGGCGTTACTCTTACCGGCGTAACAATAATTATATTATATTAATATGGTAATATAATAATGATAGGAGAGATCATCCAATGTTGTTTGAGTGTGAATACAATGTTACTTGTAATTTTTATTGAGCCCATTTTCCTGGCACCTTCAATAAGATTGATACCAGTGCCATAATTTAAGTTCCCACAGTCAGACACTTAAGCCATAAAAAGTTCTTCACTTGATATGTTTTAACACTTATTTATTATGTTACATGGGTCGAAATCACAGGTACACAAAAACGACCTGCAAGCTATGTGACGTCGAAATCACGTAGAGGGTTGAAAGTCAGGGCCACATGCGTCATTACGCTGATATTGTGAGGGTTGATGGTGCTTTGTCGTTCGCTCGGGCGTAAATTATCCCGCACGTTCAACAATTACAAGCGCTCGTTTAGAAAATCGTCATGTAATTGCAGAAATATAGGTGTGCGTTGTATGTATTGTAAAATTTTGAACCAGTATTATTATTATTAATGATCTACGTACGCGGAATTTATCATCAGAACATTTTGTCGTATTAAATGTGTCAAGTGTGTTCATAAAAGCTTATGAGAAATGCCCATGGTACAATTTTAAGTGACATATCTATAAGGCTTTTTAGTGTATAAAATGAAAAATAAGCCAATTCTCTTAAACATTGCCCAAAAAGCAGGCGAGCTTTTAGTTTACATAACTGTAAGTAATTGGTTACCGTTACCTCATGAACATGAGTATTGTCAGAGCACAGCCAAGGCGTTCCGAAAAGAACCAGATATATAATGGAATCACCCGTAAAACGCATTCTAAGTGGAAACAGTTATTTTGATAGTGGGTATGAACTCTGCTCCTCGGGCGGATGGAGTAATGCTAAAAAACGGGGTACATATTTTCAAATAATTCCGTCTCAAATAATAAATCAATACGTTGATAATAAACTTTATTTTTTGGTCTGTTTAATTTTTTGTACAGATGATCGAAGAAAATTCATATTATATAAAAATAAGAAACGAATGTTGTTTATAAGTCGTAATTTTTTGATTAAACTTATTGTCTTGGATACGTCTCTAACTAAAATGGATAAATTGGGAATATAACTCCAGTAGATATAGAATTTGATCGTTGAGGCGACGCACGTCGTTGTCACGCGGCCTACGTGTTCGGAATGTAAACCTAGTCGTTGTCATATCCAGATTATGTAGAGCCACTCTTCTCCGACAATTCACACAGTTATCTACTCTTGAATTCGTCAGTAAATAAAAGATAGTTCTTATTAAATTGGTACTGTTTCAAACCTTCTCACAGTGAAACATACCCCGTTGGGTTTTAAATGTTTATTAGTCGTCGTGGTTTCGATTAATCTGTCATTTTGTGATACTTTGAGATAACAAACTAAATTAAACTAGCTAAACTAAGCTTTGATAAGATTGTACGGTATGCTTTGGAGTTTGATGGCATTTAATTACATATAAACTATTCACGGTTTTATGTTAAATGATTTAAAATCCTATAGAGTTCTTCTGAAGAACTTTTAATTGAATAAAGATGTCTAGTGAATGCGGCACCACTTTATTGAATTGCGCTAATAAGATTCTCACAACTTGTGCTTTTAATTACAACATCTCAAACGATGAGACACTTGCATTATTTAATAATTTCACTTAAGTTTGTTATATTTCAGATTGAATATTCATTGATTAAACATTAATCGTATTTTTCTGCTTGGCGAAAAAAAAGTATCTGACACAAACTGAGACAATTATATGTAAGACATAAAGAAAACTTATTTTTCCCTAATTTAATGGTGATATTCGATATATTAACTGAAATTATTGTTCCTTAAATTATACGTCAATCAGAAATAAAGCTAGTTTTGAAAGAAAACAGGAAAAAAACAGCTCGTAGCGCGAAAATTTTAAATGCAACATAACGAACCTGACTTAAAAAATGTGACGTAAAAACATTTGTTTCCAATATAATTTACAAATTAGGAATAGTAGAGTAAATAGAATTTGGCAAATATTGTAACATAGTTCGACGAAATATAAATATTGTTACGCGCTGGGATTCGGAATAAATAAATCTTCCACCGAAGTACAAATTAAAACTCTACGAGTATATATATCACTTAGAGCACTTAAGGAACACTTTAAAATTCTCAATTCACTTCTTTCGCTTCGCTTCAGGTGGTCCGTTCGCTGTTTCGCTTCGAGTAGATCCGATTACTAACTGCTTTCGTGTCATCTCTGCAACGCTTTTATAGTCGATACGACAACTCTACAATTATCGAGAACATTCCTGACAGGTCGAGTAGTTTCGATATGTGTTTCCGCTATTTAATAATAGATGGCGATGTACTTCTCGAACGTTCTCGATTTTACTAGTTGTTTTTATATTTGTTTCTGATATTCGACGATAGATGGCGTTACTCTTACCGGCGTAGCAATATATCAGTACCTGAAGCTATTAAAATTCAAAAAAATACCCTAACTATGATAGAGAAGATGTTTAGCGCTTATCTAAATACTGAGATCCTCTTATCGAGAAGATGATACAGAATATCAGGCCCGAAGATACCTTTAGTTCTTTTTGTATGTTAAGAAAGGTAAAATTGACGTCAATATACAATATTCAAATGTTGATGAATAACAATGATGAATAATAAATATCTTGGTCGTGCATGACTACATCCAATAATATAAAATCTAAGCAATAAAAATTTGTAATACTGAAAAGTATTCGAAATATCCGAAATAATGAAATCAAAATATTAAGCACAATATTATATATTAAAATTGCCATTGCTTGCGTTCACTACATTCGAGACAGCTTTCACAAATTGTGGATATTTATTTATGTAATACACTTAACTCAGATCTACATGAAATTAAAAGTAGGTACATAATATTTACAATATAAGCTATCATCTCCAAATTAGGTAATTAGAATTTATTCTAATATTAATCTTGAGCGATTTGCATACAATATACAAGTTCATCGTCCTAATAGCGACATGGACGTTTCGAAGAGCACGCGCGCACGACTTGAATCGAACGATACCCTGACTTACCTTCGACAAGATTAATATTCGAGGCGTGTGGTGGACCCCGACAATGTGTGCGTCCCTCACGGCGCATGCATTTTCGAATAATACCCATATAATGTTTCGATGAAATTGGCTATTGTAACGCGCCTATCTCTTTAGTATAACTTACGACTTTCTTGAGGCTACCGGCTGATGCTTCATAGGAATCGTAGCGAGCACGTTAACTGAAAAACAAATTGTATCGTACGGTGATTTTTTGTGTTTAGTGCCTTTTACGTTATTGACTTTTTATAAATAATAATAATATTAACGATGCAATCTGTGCTCTTGGTATTTTGAGTGCGATATAACATTAAAATAATTACAATGACCTTTCCCAACGCCTAGTGGTGTGCGTGTACATTGAGGGTGTGTGGTATCGAGGGTGGTTCATTACAGAGTGAACATGTTGAAATTTTGCTCACCAGCGACTCGGCGACGGGAAACAAATGTGGTCTGTGCTTAGGCAGCTTTATTTTCGAAAATAACAAAAAATATATCTAAGCTGATGTAATATTTTACTTTATTTCTTTACTCAGAATTATCGTTGTTATATGCATCGTGTTGCTTGAGGAACTTCCGTAATAAATATTATTACTTATTTAGGACAAATAGAAATAAAACACAAAAAAGAGCTTAGATAAACTAACTATATACAATGTGTTTGTAGTATCTGTGTAATGCAGAATACCGATATCAGAATGCAGGCAAAAATTAATATAAAAACTAAGTAATCATCATAATCATCATCATCATCAGCATCAACAGCCCACAGTCGTCCACTGCTGGACATAGGCCTCTCCAAATTCACACCACTGAGCCCGGTCATAATAAGTAATCATACAAAAAGTAAATTAAGAAATATAGATTTTTAAATTAGGATATGAGAAGTTTTATGGTAATATTTGTTGTGTAGTTATACATATATTATTTAACTGTAAGCATCAATTTAATTTGTTTTACAGGTAAATCCAGGACGGAAGGCATCTTTGAGCGGTATCCGTGAAGGCGATGTCATTTCGTCCATAAACGGGCGGTCTACCAGGAGCATGAGTAATGCTGAAGCTCACGCCATGCTGCGAACAGCTGGTCCAGTCCTAAGACTTGGCCTAAACGAGTAAGTATTGCTTCTTGAATATTTACAGCTTAGAAAATATGCTGATCTCTTATCATAGATTGGGGGGAATAGGGACTAGGGGTAAAAAAAAGGTAAATTAAAAAAAGGGAAAAATCTGGGATGTCACAATGCTTTTTTGAGATTTAAATTTGTTGAATTGAAAAGGACTTTTATTTAGTGTTTAAGAACATTAAACAGTTTAATTTAGTCATCAGAATTTTGTAACTGATTAATGATATTGAAAAGTTAATTACCTAAAGGTAAGTACCGACCTAACAACTAAACAGTTTCAGCCCTATCGAAAAACTCTGTTGTCCCCATACGTGATTCCCCGATTCACCCCAAAAGCCAAGGTGGATCAGGTTCAGCTAGTTTTTTATGTTTTCGTGTATATTCGGTAGGCAGCGGCTTGGCTCTGACCCTGGCATTGCTGAAGTCCATGGACGATGGTAACCACTCACCATCAGGTCGTCGTATGCTCGTCTGCCTACAAGGGCAAAAAACATTTTTTTCAATGAACACTGTATACTAATGCATCGTATATGAAAATTTAAGCCTCCGGAACCATTTTAATCTCAATTTTATTAGTATTACCCTAAGAAAAACCGCTGAAAATTTGTGTTGGGATTGGAAAGCGTCTCGATTCCCCCCAATCTACTGTACGGAAAATTGAATTGTGCTTTTTGTTCAAATTATAAGTTTATTCATAATTTTTTAAATAATATGAATAACTAAATTATATTTTTTTTTAATTGTAATCATATGTATACAATGCCTATTATTCACTTGACTGTGGCTATCGTCAGTAACAAAAATCAGTACGTCGAACGACTATCTCAACAATACTTTTTGGTGTGGAGACAAATAAAAGTATTTCGGATGTGGTGGTCTCATCAACGAAGGCCGCAGGACTTTTTCTTTCTCCTCCAACTCCAAACCCGAGTTTATAAGACACTGATCAGTGTGATTAGGTATCCCAACATCCCAGTTCTGGTAAACATTTCGAAGATCGAGTTATGATATAAACAGATACTTTTTTGTGCGTGTGAACGTGTAAGTCTATATGTTAATAGGTGAAACTAATTTCAATTTTTAGTTATTTATTGCTTAGCCGTGTGGACGAGCTCATAGCCCACCTGATGTTAAGTGGTTACTGGAGCCCATAGACATCTACTACGTAAATGCGCCACACACCTTGAGATATAAGTTCTACGGTCTCAGTATAGTCACAACGGCTGCCCCACCCTTCAAACCGAAACGCATTACTGCTTGACGGCAGAAATAAGCGGGGCGGTGGTACCTACCCGTGCGGACTCACAAGAGGTCCTACCACCAGTAATTACGCAAATTATAATTTTGCGGGTTTGATTTTTATTACACGATGTTATTCCTTCACCGTGGAAGTCAATCGTAAACATTTGTTAAGTACGTATTTCATTAGAAAAATTGGTACCCGCCAGCGGGATTCGAACACCGGTGCATCGCTATATACGAATGCACCGGACGTCTTATCCTNGTGCGGACTCACAAGAGGTCCTACCACCAGTAATTACGCAAATTATAATTTTGCGGGTTTGATTTTTATTACACGATGTTATTCCTTCACCGTGGAAGTCAATCGTAAACATTTGTTAAGTACGTATTTCATTAGAAAAATTGGTACCCGCCAGCGGGATTCGAACACCGGTGCATCGCTATATACGAATGCACCGGACGTCTTATCCTTTAGGCCACGACGACTTCAATTCACCCAATTAGTAGAGTTCTGCAATTTAGACTATAATAACCGCAGAGCACTGCATGTCATCAATACGAGTAAATAGTATTTTATTCATGCGCAGAATGAAGTGGAAAGTCTAAAATGTGAAGTGTAAAGCAGAGGCATAGAGCCTTATGAGACACTACAACGCGTTAATTGAACGGCCGTTATTGGAGAAATGGCCGAAAACCACGATTTTAGAGATTCCGATCATCCAAAAGACTAGTCATTTACTTGGAGAATACTACGAGTATTTAGTTGTAAATACAATTCAGAAATAAGTCTGTAATAGGTATGATAGTTAATTATAGGAATTAACTCCTTTAAGATGCAATTTATTCCAAATCAAAATTTCTACTAGAGAGATAATACAAATATAATTCTTCATATCAAATTAGTGTTGAACGACTTAAACTAAACTCATACAAAAAAAATGCTGAACTTTTTTCTGTTTAATATCCGTTAAAAATAATAATTAAAAAATTAAAATAGTTTTCCTATCATTGGAAGCTACTCCAAATATAATTATTCATATCAAATTAGTGTTGAACGACTTAAACTAAACTTATACCAAAAAAAATGGTGAACTTTTTTCTGTTTAATATCCGTTAAAAATAATAATTAAAAAATTAAAATAGTTTTCCTATCATTGGAAGCTACTCACGAGCTTAGTTGTAAGATCAACTTTCACCTTAGTGCAGGTTTTAAAAATAACTTCAGAAAAGGTATGCTGCGAAATAAAAATGACATTTGTTTCTAAATTGACTGTTGAAATATCTGAAATTGATTTCACATTTACAAAGACTTCTGCCGTATTGGATGGATGTCAGCGGAAATCGGACAGGCACTAATCCGATCTCTCCTCGGCGTTTCACACAACATTCAAATGGATTTGCAGATTAGTCGGGACGTAAATCGATGCACATTATTTATTCTGTCAAGCCCAATTAACTTATTATTTACAAGCTTTACTCTTTATTTAATATGGGAAAATTTACATATAATATTAAATGTACATTATTGTTGAGTGAACAAATCGTGATTATCTTATTTTATTTCGCTCGGAATTAAGGGAAGCAACGGCCTAGCAAGTTGACATATAGGTGTCAATAGTATTAACGATATAGACATGTTATGGACAACTTTCTATCAGTACTAACATCCTCCATAAATTTATCTTCAAGTTCCAATCACATTGTTCTTATTCGAATCTAATTGCGACTGTGACTCCAATGCGATTGACGTTCAAAGTGTACTGCCTAAAAATATGGTAATCACTTTCCCTCAGTAAATCTACAATCTTTCATCCATCCTGTCTCTCTGAACTGTCAGTAAATCGATATATTGCTGGTGGTAGAACCTCTTGTGAGTCCGCGCTAGTAGGTACCACCACCCTGCCTATTTCTGCCGTGAAGCAGTAATGCGTTTCGGTTTGAAGGGTGGGCAGCCGTTGTAACTATACTTTTTTTTTTTTTATTGCCCTTGTAGGCAGACGAGCATACGGCCCACCTGATGGTGAGTGGTTACTGTCGCCCATGGACTTCAGCAATGCCTGGGGCAGAGCCAAGCCGCTGCCTACCGCTTAATACTCTCCACAAGCCTCGTTTGAAGAAGGACATGTCATAGCGCTCGGGAAACACCGTGGAAGGGAGCTCAATCCATAGCCGGATGGTACGTGGCAAAAAAGACCTCTGGAAACGCACTGTGGATGACCGCAGTGGCTCCAGGTAGTATGGATGAACTCTACTCCGGTGGCGGGCGGTGCGATGGTAAAAACGAGATGCCGGTATCATCTCGAACAATTCCTCAGAGCACTCCCCTTGGAACATACGATACAAAATACAGAGGGAACCGAAGTCCCTCCGCAGACCCAGAGGTTCCAAACGATCCGTGAGAATGGGATTATCGACAATCCGAACCGATTTAGACCTTAGAACTTATATCTCAAGGTAGGTGCCGCATTTACGTTGTAGATATCTATGGGCTCCAGTAACCACTTAACACCAGGTGGGCTGTGAGCTCGTCCACCCATCTAAGCAATAAAACAATGTTTATAATATATATACCTATATGTATAAATAATAAAATTTATTTAACAAGTTCTTCAGCTACATACAACCTTAATGAGTTTACTTTTTGTCTACAGAGACAGAGAGATATCGCCGCGAAGGAGATCTATCGGCAAAGGAACGGATTTAAAACGTAAGATACGAAACACATGCTTTTTAATCGATATTATTAGTGAAGTTTATTTGAAATTAAAATCTAACAACTAACAACGAACCGAAAATATTTTTTTCATATTTTGTATCACGTCTAATTTGCGTATTATTACTTTTGAAACCAGATTAGCTTACGTCGCAGTGAATCTTCACCGTCGCTCCGGAAATAAACCATAGCACTTTTAAACACAAGTGTAGATATTTTTTATCGATATATCGCGGTCGTCATGCATGCCATCAATGAACAGCCTGTGTACAGCAGCCATCGAATGCTCCGCGACCTTGATTGCTAGCAATTCACTTGCGTAGTATCTAGAAGATCGCATATTAACCTCAATAGAAGCGCTTTAAGACCCGATATGCCTCTGTAATAAACAACACGTTTGGTGTTAATTGGTTACCGGATCACGACATCATAGATACACACGTGTGTGCCACTACCCACTTGGGAACAGAAGATCGATGGTCACATAGAGAACATTTTGACTTATACGATAGGGTAGTGTTGCCGTAGACGACTAGACGTGTTTGCTAATAGGTATATAGACACCATCCCTTATTTAAAACATGAGGTTCACGTTTCCATAATATTGCTTTAACGACTGTCCTATCCTTCGAGCCGTAATGCAGGAATTATTTGAAGGCTCAGGGTAAATGCATCAAAGCTTGGATTTTTTATGGGTTTAGGTGCATTTCCACAGATTAATAAACAAACTCTATTGGCGAGCTCCTATATTTTTCCGGGTGCATAATTTTTTTTCCTAACTGATTTAAAAACTCAATTTCGATTAAACCAGATGAAGTTAAATTCGCGGCGTTATCTTTATATTTAGTATTCATTAAAAGACTTATAAAAAGCTCATTCAAACTTAAAATTAATTATTCTGTTGAATAATAATTAGAAGTCTAAGATGAGGCGTCTGAATTCTATCGTGGAAACCCAAAATATATTTTTTATTTATTCATCTGAACGTTAAAGGTTTAATAAAGGCGTTTTATGTTCGAATATAAACATTAACTTGTCCCCTTTGACAGAGCAATCTGCGAGACAACGCGTAAACCTCTATACAAATCAGAAACGTTAAAATATATATTTATACGTTTCGCTGTGTGAAATGTTGCCTTTTGTATGGCGGCAACTTTATTTATTTTATCAAACGACTGCACGTGCTGGGCTTTGGTTCAAATAAGCACAAACAGACTGCGACTTTATTGTCGTTGCTTGTTTACTTGGAACGATCTAAGAAAAACGTTAAACGTACTAAAAACTATAATTCTACCAAAAAAATTCCGCGCTGAATGTGTCAGATAGATTACAATGTTTTCATCATCATCATCATTATCGTGACTGGGAGAAGGGCATTCTCCTAGTCACCTAGGGTCGGCGCAACATGTTTTCTCTTTCCATACTCTTCTATCATATACCATTTCTTCGCTCACTCCCCTCTTACCCATATCGTCTTTCACACAATCTATCCAATTACAATGTTTTATTTTCTCAAATAAAGTTAAAAAATTGTTTTAGGACCATCGCAGTTGATTGCTGAAGTACAGTGTGGAAGAGCGACGCCTCAAGCACCGGTTTATGCAACGATAAGATCATCTGAATCACCGATTAAACGTCCGTCTCCATCAGGCATTCGTTCTTCATTAAGTTCCTTGCCTGGCGAATTTCATTCGACACCCCTTGTGAAATCGCCAACAAATTCCGATAATACTATTGGATTTCACCCGACAAATCCATTTTATACTACTCTCCCTTCAAATTATTTGAGTACTTCCAGATTACCTGTGCCGAATGGTAAAGCTAATACTTTAAATTTAGATAGAGATAAACCTAAACAGTCGTCGCCATTCCACGATTGTGGTGGAGATATACAATCTACCACGAATCATGAGCGAATACTACAGTCTGGTTCCAGCGGTCTTCCATATTATAATCACAATAATGTGAATAAAATCAACGGCTACGAAAGTCCAACATCAAAATTTGTTAACAAAACGGACTTTGGTCATTTTGCTAATAGCTATAAAGAATTTAATGAGCAAACAGACCAAAGTCTACCGGATGAGTCTAAAAATCCATTTGCAACAAAAAGAAACAGCGATCCTTTTGAAAAGTATTTACGTCCAGAACATAATACTAATGGAAAAACTGATGCCAACATTAAAACAATACCGATTTCGATGAGCGATAACAATTTTCAAACTAAAGAAGAAATAACGCAACGTTCAACTGTAACTGAACATAAGATAAATGAAATCGAAGAAATTAAGACAATCAAGAAGATAGTTCTGAACGAATACGATAGAATGCGTGATACCAGACAAGACGATTGTTCTAAAATTATTCGCGATAGAAATAATCATTCTGATAAATCTTCAAGAGTAAGACGCAATGAAGATTTTCGTCAAGAATCACCAAGTAAAGAACATCCTATATTACCAAGGAATGGATGTCATAATCCACAAAATGAAGAGAATAATAAAAGGAGCTGGAGTTCCTTATCTAGTACGTACGATCAGTACAAATCCGAGTATGAAAACTTCACGAGCACTTCAGGTAAGCCGTTAACGTTATTATGTTTACTGTAATAGTCAAATTCAAGGAAAACTGCCCCGGTACTGTAAACGAATCATCTCTATTGTTATAATTTTATCAGTACAGTAATGTTTTTTTTTTTTGTAATTGCTCCAAATTAGTAGAATATCTCATGTTCCATTGTTTGTTAAATGGTTCCTAGAGATAGAGACATCACAAAAATAAATGCCGCCACCCACCATTTTTATTGGGAGTCCTTTCAATTAGAACGATTTAAGAGGACAGTTGAGGGACTTAACTTGTTTTTATTGGAAAATATTATTATTCCTTGATACATTGGTTTCAATTATAATTGACAGTTAATCTTGATTCATGCGCAAGTTACGGGCTTTGTTCCTGAACAATTCAGGTGCGATTACACGATATGTACATATCAATGCATTCAACCCTCCAAGGCAATGTGGAACAGCAAAAGGGGTGGATCGTTATACTGGCTTATAGTACCGATACGACACGAATTTATACCGATTACTTTCGTCCTCACGTTTCCCATGTGCAAGCTTAACAAAATGCTCTACGTGCTACCTGATATATTACGTACAATGTGCCTACGCTAATTTGGGTCGTTTCTTATACGAATTGTATTCAATATATTGGAATGCATAAACTGGATAAATGGAAAATGGCTTCTATTATTTTATATATAAGTGAAATCTGCTATGACTATCGCTACTTATATAAAAGATTTCACGTGGATTTATAAAAAAACATCGAATTATTCCCGTAATAAAATATGAATACAACCAAAAGTAAAATAAGGAAGTGTTTTCAATCCTGTATGTATATGACATTTGATTTTTCGTTTGTTTTCTGGATTTTTCTGTTATACCTTTATATATATATATATATTTCTTCTGTGCGTGTGTATGTCAAATCAGCCCGGCAGAGGGCGCTGCAGTCGACATCTAGCTTATTTATCTTTCCTAGAAATAATTTATATGGCAAAACAACGTTTGCTGGGTTAGCTAGTTGAAATATAAAAATTCATTATTTTATTGAATAATTTACTAAATACCCTGTATTCCTTAGCTAAAATGTTGATGTACAAAGGTCCGTAAGATTTCTAGGTATTATTAGGATACTTATTAATTTGTTTCCAAAACTGTTTCAAATCTCGACTCGGCTAAAGCGGCTTAAAAAAATTATTGTTCTTCAAATAGGTGTAAAATTAGCTTTCGGTTTTTTCACCGCAGGTTTTTATTGGTAAAACTGCGGATCAACTTACTCACGAATGTGTTTGGAACGATTACCGAAGATTAAAAATAACATAACGCGAACGCGGACATCGATATTGAGACCCCAATTTTGAGGAGCCTTGGACGGTGGTTTTACTCCTACGGTAGGGAGTGTAGCGCAGAACATACAACACGCTCTACCACCGGCTTCGTTCGCATAGGATCCGCTTAGAATTAGTATTATCTATTCTGATTACAATAAGGGGTTGAACTAAATTAAGAACGCAAAAAAAGTCCAACAAGTCAATGAGCCACGATGATCACCCACCACCAGGTAGGCCGTATGTTCATCTGTCTAAAAAGGTAAAATGATAATTGGAACATTTAACAAAGAGACAAAGTGGCTTTTTGTACCCCAAAAGTAGAGACCGAAGCCAAAAATTCGATTCTGGCATAATAAAAAATAATTATGTAATTTTCAAATAAATACTACTTACTACCCACATATATGAAAATATATACTATTTAAAAATATTAGTTAAATACGCATTACATCTATATATGTAAAAATGAATTGCTGTTCGTTAGTCTCGCTAAAACTCGAGAACGGCTGGACCGATTTGGCTAATTTTGGTTTTGAATAATTTGTGAAAGTCCAGAGAAGGTTTAAAAGGTTAATAAATATGAAAATGCTCGGAATTGAATAAAAACAAACAATTTTGTTTTTCTTTTGATGTGTCCCCCGTCGCACGGGTACTTTTTTTTTTTTTTAAGTTTATTTAATAAAAAAGTTTAGGTCTTTTATTTATCGATTGAGGCACTACGAAGTCTGCCGGGTCAGCTAGTAATATATAAAAACTGTAGTTACGGATGATTTTATATCAAATGTTATTAACGATCACAATTCAATGTATTTATTTCGCTGTGGTAAATCGACGTTGATTGATGGGAAACGATTAAGAGTTTCCCTTATTAAGCCATACAAAGTGATAACAAAAAACAGGCAGCTGAAGGAACTTACCTTCTATGAGCTTCGGTACCCACCTTACAGAGAATAGATCCAGAGATCGTTTATCAATAAACTCTAATTTCCAAATCCATAGGACCTATTTCCCTTAATTCATCGACCGCGGTATTAAGCATAGTCACAATCAAATTGAACAATTTGAGCTTCAACGTCATTATGTAACTCGACTCAGTTGAGTTTTTAAACTTTGGGAAGAAGCGTCTTGGTAGTGGGGAAAGTACGCTCGCGCAGTGTTTCCGACTTATTTAAAGTACCATTGAAACGTCTCTAAAGTGCTTCTAGTACAAGTCCCAGATTACGTCAGTGCATGTCTCGCGTCCAGTGTTAAACTGCGGAAAAAGTTGCAAAGTATTTTTATTAAATGATTTTTCCATATATTCTCAAAGCTTAAAAAAAATAAGCTAGTTATATTTTATTATAGTTTAATAATAAATAAACATTTCGCTTTAACATCAATCACTTCAAACTGTTTGTGAACATTGTTAATTTATAGAGCAATACCTTTGAATTTGCATACGAATTTCGTGCTATTTAATTTGAGTAGGGACTTTGAACTTCATACGGATTTCGGTACGCATTAATCGCACGATAATTATATGTTGTAATAACATAAAGTTATATATTTTAAAACAAAGAAATCCGTGCAACGGTTTTTAATACAACACAATTATTAATTAGTCGTCGTGGCCTAAAGGATAAAATGTCCGGTGCATTCGTATGTAGCGATGCACCGGTGTTCGAATCCCGCAGGCGGGTACCATTTTTTCTAATGAAATACGTACTCAACAAATGTTCACGATTGACTTCCACGGTGAAGGAACAACATCGTGTAATAAAAATCAAACCCGCAAAATTATAATTTGGGTAGTTACTGGTGGCAGGACCTCTTGTGAGTCCGCACTTATATCTTATATCTCAAGGTGTGTGGCGCATTTACGTTGTAGATGTCTATGGGCTCCAGTAACCACTTAACACCAGGTGGGCTGTGAATTAGTCCACACATCTAAGTGTAAAAGTAATTATTAATTGGTTTCTACTTAATTTTTACTTATATTGTTCATGTACTAAACTGCTGCTAAAAGTCAAACGGTGCTAGAGCATGACGAAAAGGTTATATTAGTTGCATATTAGATTAGAGTAATAGCTTTGAGATTCATATTATGAAAACAAAAGCTTCATGTCTGAATTGTGTTGATCTGACGAAATTTTGTTTGAAATCCAACAAACGGGAACTGATTAAAAAAACCTTTTCCTGAAATAAAATCATAACCAAGAAGCAGCCTTGGATATTATTGTTAAACCAAAATATTGGGAAAATAAGCCGGAGGGAGGTCAAGGGATTAGCTGCTTTATTTCCCTGGTGGTTCTAATAGTTATTTTTTTTATTTGAAGTCATGCTCGGAAGCGGAAATTGAGTATCGCTCGCAGAAATCTATCTTATTCGCGTCCGAGCAGAAAATTATCTCCGGTCCTTAATTACTTTTTAAGAACTTCCTAAATCGATTAGGTATCTTTATTTCGGAATCATACAGAATCATTATTAGTTCGATGTTTTTAGTTGTTACCATTAAATACTAAGGTTATTAAGTAGCTTTCATAACATATTGGACTTAAAGTAATTTAAATCGATAAGTAATTACATATTTTACATAATAATATTAATGTTAAAACCTTGTCTCTAATTCGCATTTTCACACTTTGCTTTGTGGATACATGTATAGTATAAATTGATAAGTTTTTATTTTTTAATTTTTATTGCTTAATGCTTAGGAAGGTTGACGAAGCCACGGCCCACCTAGTTTTAATTGGTTATCGGAGACCATAATAATATCTACAACGTAAATGCGACCACATACCTTGCGAGATGAGTTCTAAGGTTTCAATTTTTACAGTACAACGGCTATCCCACCCTTCAAACCGAAACGCATTGCTGCTTCACGGCAGAAATTGACCGGGTGGTGGTACTTACCCGTGCGGACTCACAAGATGTCGTACCACCAGTAATTACGCCAATTCTAATTTTGCGGGTTTGATTTTTATTACACGACGTTATTCCTTCACCGTGGAAATAAATCATGAACATTTGTTAAGTACGTGTTACATTAGAAAAAATGGTACCCACCTGCAGGATTCGAACACTAGTACATCGCAAGATGCGAATGCATCGGACGTCTTATCCTTTAGGTTACGACGACTTCAAAACCTATATATAATAATTTGATATTTTTAACCGGCGTCAATAAGGAGGTTCTATCGTAACCTATGTCTTTTTTTAAATGTTTCGCGTTTATGATTTTGATACTTTTACTATGATCTAGATTGTAAGTATTACAACTAGTACAATATTTATATATTAATACGTGAAGCAAAAACTTTGTATGCCTTTTTAGGAATATTGCGCTGACGGAGGATTATGAAATTTCTCACACTTGTAGAAAATACAGTGAAGGAGTGCAGAACGCTAATTTTTTTTTTTAATTATGCATTAATAATACATTAAATCAATAAAAAAACATTACACACACTACCATATATTTGACACACACACACATATTTAGAATCGATGTTTATTGTCAAACTTTTGTTATTGCTTAAAGCCTGTGGTCAAATTGAAAATAGGTTAATATTGTTTATCTTTAAAATTATTTGTCTACAGTGTAGTCTTGACGAGATCTGTGACTATAGAAGTATAATAGGTTTTGACAATTGAACCATAATAATGTTCAAATTATAAAATTTCAATTAATTATAGTCGAATTTCGACTACTGCGGGATCACTAGTAATATTTATTGTAGCATATATTTCAAACCACACCCGTTTACTGTTTATGATCAATTTAACGAACATTGTTCCATGTCGTTTAGTCTGCCATTGATAATTCCGATTAATTGTGGGCATAAAACATAGCAAGTAATACGGGCCAAGGCTGTTTAGGTGTGGCCAAGGAGCGGTTTCACGGTCTACAGAGTACCTGGATAGAACGTCTGCTATCCTTGCCAGTTCTGTCGTCGACTTTGACCAACGCTCTCAAGACTTCACCGTGAGCAGTCGTAATTGAAACATAGAAATAGAATGCGAAATTGTAATTTTAATTTTTTTTAAACGGTGTTTCTGTGAAGCGAAATGAACTCGTGTTTTCAAAGCAGTCCGTACGTCTTCCATCCGCCTTCGGATACGTCGGCGACGGAAACCGATGACAGTGTTGATTCAGGCTGTGAAAAAACTGTCAGTATTAATAATAAACGAACGAAAACTTACAACGAACCGAAGTTCAAAACGATTAACAAGGTCAGCGAGAAGATCCTGAGAGCCATTGAAAAGTTGACGTGTAACATAAAAAAGAGCAAGAAATCA